AACACTAGCCGAAGCCCGAAGCGCTGAACCCTTGGCCCGAAGCCCTGAACACCCGCAGCCCGGTAAATTTGTTTCGGCTGAAGGCTGACCTGCAACCTCGGTGTTTTGGAGGCGCCAGTTCGTCTCCTTCCGGGGAGCTTTCCTCTTTGGGATGTACTGTAGCTCTTCCAAAGATTTCGGATTCAGGGCTCACCTGGATCCTAAAGAACGTCCCACGTTAAGGATTAAACCCTAAACCCAAAAGAACTTACCTTTAAAAAAAATTGAAGGATTTGTATAAGGAAGTCATAGTAAGGAACCTTCGAAAAGGTAGGTTGGCGGTTAGCTAGTTGGGTTCAGGTGGGGTCTAGGATTAAGGTCAAGGCGAAGGGTTACCAAAGGCCCCTCCCAACTACCCTGTAATATACCTTAAAAACACACCATCAAGAACCATAAGAAGCTCTGTTGAAGGGTATTTTGGTTTTGATGTCGCTTGAAATTTATATTCTGTTCAGTTTGACCTCTTCACAAGTCCGTTTAGTAGTCCGCACCAGACTACAGCGTGCTTAGTAGTCCTGTGTGTCCTAGACCAGAGGGTGTGTGCAGAATACTGTTGTGAAATGAGGGTTTACGGCCTAGGTTTACGGAGGAGGGGGTCTGTGTAGACTGAGACCGCGGAATAAAGGACTCAGGGTTGTGGATTATGTGAGGCTTTTGCAAGCATTCTTCACAACGCTGATGAGTTTATATGGTACTCGTTCGAGAAGTTGTTTTCAGAGTGCCACAAAAGAGATTCCTTGCTTTCGTTAGCCGATCTCCTTCCAAGCAAGTGTATTCCCATTGGTCCGTCCATGGACCTTCGGAGGAAACCGATTCTTGATATATAGCACTTGGAGGTACAGGGGTAGTTATGATTGGGGTTATAAGTCCCCGGATATTCGTTATAATTACAGTTACCCTACTTATAGCCGTACAAGTACGTACCCATGAACCTCCAAGCAGGGAACATCTCAGGGCTTTTTGGTGAGAGACTGCCGGGCTCCCTCTGAGCATTTTTCAGCTGATATTTTTGAGCTTTAGACTCTGGAAAAATCTTAGTAGCTGAGTGGATATATGACCACTATAAAACTGAAAGTTTACACTTTTGGGGGCCTATGAACTCAGCAAGTAAGAAGTAATTACTGGGAAATGGCATCTAAACCCCTACAATGAATACCAGGTAAGGTAAGCTTCGGAAGTATAACCCTAAGACTCCATGTGCCCATATAGTAAGTACTTAGCCCTTAAAGGGGTCCCTATATGGGTACTTTAAGGCCTAAGTACCTACTATATGGGTACATGGAGCCTTTGGGTAGCAGGCTGGCGACTCCTCCGGATGCCGCCGAACATGCCGCGACCCCATCTGAAAGCTGAAAGACACTGAAGTCATAGGAGGCCACAAGGGGGTTTGGCCTATGGGGGTTTAGTAGGGATTAGGGTTCCCATAATAGGGTTCATATTAAGGAATCCCTACCCCAAGAATCTTAAACCCCCTTTTGGCCTCCCATCATGAAGGTTTAGGGTTTCGAGTGTAGGGTTTGTAGTTGAGGTTTCGACGACAAAACCTCAAACCCAAGCATACCTAAACCCTACACCCAACCTACTTTTCTGCTCCGTGAGTTTTGAACACCAAATGCGTGTAGCTTGCTAAATCGAAACTCTCTAACGGATCCTGCCCCGGTGGCCCCAAAGGCTTCACTTTAGAGTATCCTATACCCTACTCTGCTCTACTCTACTCCACGACGGTGTAGTGTGCCATCTTGTGTTCGAGTGATCCTCGTTTCAGGGCTTAGGCTTCTGGCAGTACGTACTTCGCCCACGAAGCTCCAGCAATAGAAATGTGAGACGACCTAGAGCATGTCAGTTTCTGCATTCGAGGGTTTCGGTTCGGCCGTAGACCGGGTTTGATCATGGGGTGTATGCCGCGGTTCAGAGCAGCATTTACTGCTTTGCGGCCGTTATATAAGATGCAGAACTGAACTTTCCACTTCCTCAGGCCCACGAGCATAGCAAGTAAGACATTCTCGTGGTACATCTCACCTTCCTATCCCTAGTTTTGCATAATTCGGGCTAGGCTCGAGGGTTCTGCTTCAGGCGGGGCATGTTTGAACCTTGAGCCTGAGCCCTTAACGCTATACCCTTAAGCCAAAAAACAGCCATAAGCCCCTAAGCCCTAAACCCTTAGCCCAATAAACCCCCATAAGCCCCTAAGCCGTAAGCCCGTAGGCCTATAAACCCCTAAAGCTTAAGCCCTTAGCCCTGTCAACCCTAAGTCCTTAGCCCTATAAACCCCTAAACTTAACCCCATGAATCCCCAAACCCTAAGTCCTTAGCCCTATGAGCCCCTAAACCCCAATAAGTCCTTAGCCCTATAAGCCCCTAAACCGTAAGTTTGAGTTTCGGATGAGTTCTTTTTTTTACAGGAAGCTTCTGGCTCAAACACTCGGCAGTGCCTGGTGTGACTGAGGTTCCTCGTACGGGTCCAACACCACCGCACCTGGGCAGAATACTAGGGCTCCTTAGAGGGATCCTTGAAGGGATCTTTATCGTTTAGGGCTTTGGGTCTACTTAAGTGCATGCTTTGGGGCCTGACGAGTTAGCAAATCAGCTATCTCATGTTGGGGCTCCCTAGGAAGGTTGCGTAGGGCTCGTTTGTTTGACTGCTTCTGCAACTAAGGATCGTATATAAGCTTAACAACTCAACAATACAGTATCCGCTGAAGCCCTAGACAACTTGTTCGTGGATGTTCTGCGCATGCTGAAAGGCGTCCAAACAAGTACCCAAAGTCCGGCTCTATGCCCAGGTAGCTACGGTGGAATCCTGCATTACGCATAATAAGGAATCTACCATAATTCCCATAGTTCAGGGTCCTTAAGGTAATGCAGGATGTATATCACCAACCGTAGTTCAAGGCAGACCACCACTTTAGTGCTTTTTTGCCCGCTCAGGTGACTGTGGAAGGCGAACAATACACGGTCTGGCCAGGGAACCCAGCCTAGGCTTCTTTACGTTCCCTTAAAGGGTACTATCGGGGTCTATAATATCACCCTTAAAGGGTACTATGGAGTTCTTCAATAGGGTCCCCTCTAATGGTGGTCTTCGGCCCATCTAGGGTTCTATCAGGGTTTCTTTAAGCGTTCCTCTGAAGGGTTCTGTAAGTTTTGTTTAGAGTTCTATAGGGGTTTTCGCGCTTGGGCCTTAGGGTTCATAGGGGTTTAGGGGTCGAGACATTCAGGTTAAAGGGTTAGAAACCCCGTCGGATCTCTAGGCGGAGGGGTTCAGCACAAGTCCGGTGGTTTCGGGTGTACTCGAGGGTTCCATGGGCACTTCCGAAGACGACAATAGCCATCGTGGCTTGGGTTGCAAGACGGTCTAGCAAGACCTTACTTATGCCCATGCTTGCTAAGTCGGCGGAATCATGCCGGGCTGAGCATCACATCAAGTGCCTCTGTTTGAACACGACGGCTGGGAATAGTCATCCGCCGCTCGTGCAAGCCAGAGTCTAGGGCTCATGGTTGCACAGTTCGAGCTTACATTGCTTGGATGTCTAGGATGCCCAGTAGTACCCTTATTCCCTTTTTGTAGTCCTAGGTTCCTTATAAAGTTACCCAATACCAAACAGAGAGGCCTTTTTATTCTTAGGTTACTGGGTATCCTAGTTTGGATGTATAATGGCAACACATGCTTACTCACAAACCCTAGTCACAAGTAGCCCGACTTGATGCCCGAAGCTCTATTTTTTCCAAGCCCCAATACCCTAAGGGTCCATGTACCCAAATAGTATATACTTTGGGCCCAATGTACCCATATAGGGAGTACTTTAAGCCCAATGTATATACTATTTAGGTACATGGACCCTTAAGGATGTGCAGCTTCCCAGGCCAATCCGCCGCATTGCACACGGAGGCACCGGCGTCCAGGCTGGGGTTGCTCTTCTTTGTGTTAAGGGTCCCTTTTTGGGTTTGGGGTTTAGGGTTTAGTGTGACGAGCACATAAAAGGAACCCGCACCCTAAGGTCTGAAATTGACTCACATCGAAAATCAGCTTGTCATGAGTGTTAGCTAGACTCCAAGCCATATGTTCAGGGTTTCGTGAATTCCTTCTTTTTTCTGCTGGTCAGCCCAGGCTGAATAGGGATACTGGGAAAGTGAGAAATCTCGAATCGCGACTTCGACCCCCGAAAACCCCAATCCCCCAAAACCTGCTCCCTGCACTAAACTCTGAAGCCCCCACCTGCAACCCTCAAACCCCACTTGGAGGCTCATGGGTACTTATAAGTAGGGTTACAAGTATTTGTAAACTTTATACTTATAACCCATGTCAGGGGACTTATAACCCATGTTAGGGGACTTATACCCCCCAACGTATAACTACCCCTGAACCTCCCAGCAGCAAAGGCCATAAACCCGAAATGCCGAAGGGAGCCCTAAGCCTCTCGACCTTATCGACCCGATGCTGTCAGGGTTGTGCCAAGCATGATGATCGGGAGTCGGGAGATGCGGAGGGGGAGAGGGGGGATGTCTTGTGGATCAGGGTCTGAAGTCGTAGGGTTTATAGGGTATAGGTATCAGGGTTTAGAGTTTAGGGGTTTAGGGTTTAGAGGATACTTGAAGTTTGGGGTTTAGGGCTTCGGGCTTCGGGATACACGATAGGGTAATGATTACTTATACTCCTAGTATGGGTGGTTGTCAAAATTATGGTCCCCGTTTGGGTACCCTAAATATTAGGTGCCTTATTATAATAAGGACCCAAAAAGGGACCCTAATTTTGACAACCACCCTGGTGGCTGCAATCGGAAAGCCAATTGGACGTGGATGCTACGGCACATGCCATGAAGCTCGCCGGAACTCGTCTTCTTTGGCTTTTCGCGTGGTTTTGAGATTTGCAAGGCTGGATGGCCCTGAGAGGAGCCAGATTGTCATCGTGGACGAAGCCAGGACTCCAAAAGACTTGTCCCACAAACCTTGTGGAGATACTTGGCATGGTCTTTGAGGGAAGTCGCATGGCTTCTGTCTGGAAGCATGAGCCCGAGAAGCCATTCTTTGAGCTTCCGTTGCTCAATCGCCGTGCCCGGGTTGGCATCTCCATGCAGCTCTGTGGAGTGGCATCTTCTTGTACAACAAAGTCCCACTGCCTTTGGGATAGAAATCATGACATGTACGTGGAGATGTTTTTCGGACCACAGGCCCGTGTGGCACCTGGCATCGCCGCGTTCCACGGGCTCCCATCAGCCAATTCCTTGTATTGGACCCATCCTACATTGGTGTCACAATACTCCTGCTTCGGTGCATTATCGCAGGGCTATGGTGGTGTCCAAATTCGTGGTTTGCCTGGAGAGCCGAAGCAAAAAATTGCCTGCTATTCCGGACGGTGGCTGCACTATGTCCGTGCATGCGGCATGCCTTTGCAGCGTGTGCCACGGGGTGCTCCGCCCCGATGGTTCGCGCAGCAGCATACCCGTCTGCAGGATTTGGTGCGTGTTCTGGGAGGCATCGATGCAGCGGAGTTGGAGGATGCTCGTGTGGAGCTGCGACTCTCGGAGAACGCCACGTTTTGGGAGGAGCAGGTGGTGCTATTGCGGACCATCTTCCTGCAGACAGCTCACCACATCAACATCCGCATGTTGCCGGTACATGCAGTTAAAGAGCAGCTACACTATGCGTTGGGCTGTGCTGCTGAGGCAGGTCTCTTCGCGTTTGGCCGCCTCAACTCTGGCGTTGCTGCACCGGCTTGGAAACACCGCGACTACAGCCGTCTCCTACATGCACTGGGTGCGGTGAACAAATTCACTGTCCGGAGCGGCTATGAGGCTTGGCGAGACAATGTGGCCTGGGGTTCAGGACTTGCGGATGGTCTGCAAGTTTCCGTGCAGTATGTGGATATGTGGCCCACCAATCCTGCCGTCCCCCGTCACATTCCAAGACTGCACATCACCAATGACATGACAGCGCAACAGGTGGCAGATCTTGGCCAATCTACTCTGGTGGATTGGGAGGCAGTGGTGCGCCTCACATTCCTTGATGCGTCCATGGTGCCGGATGCATGCGCAGGACACACATATTGGCGCTTGCCCTCTCTCCCCCAAGGTTCTCGGCCGTAGTTTCTGAAAATCTAGCTTCATTTTCTGCAGGGGCCCTGCGATCAGAAGATTTCAGGACACCATCTAGGATTGCCCAACTGTCCTCAGCTGTTTTTGTCCTTTCTGCTTGAGTTTGTTTCCATAAGCTTTGTTTCATGCCCTCGGGCTCTCAAAATCGCCCAAAATCCTTGTGTACTTCGCCTTTGGGCCTAAAATCCTTAGTTATTAGCTTATGAGTCCTTAGACCTCTAGAGATGCTCGTTTTGCAGTGTACTAGGACCCTAAACCCTGTAAACTTTAATAGGGCTCTACAGGGTTCTGTCAATAAGTTACGGGTGCTTCAAAGGACAGTAGAGACCTCAGGCAGGTTAAGCACTCGGAAACAATCCAGGTCCCCCCAAGTGCCCATTAATAACACCCTTACATTCGTTAATAGTGGGGGGTTAGGGTACATTGCACACCTGATGTCAAAAACCTCCCGGATTCCCATGACTGTCTCATCCGTCTAGTTCACCACGCTTTAGGGACGCCCCTGCTGAAGCCAGCACGGAAATCATGAACCCTAGACCCTGAACCCTACAAAGAGGAGGACAATAGCAACGCAGACACCCAAAAGCCCCAACCCCATCAAGCCCTGAAGAACGCGCCATGGAACCCAAGAAGCGAAATTACCGAGATTCTCATATCAAAGGCCCTTCCTCAAAGGCAAACCTGTCTCCCGAAACTCCAAACTCACCCAAGTCCACCCCAAACGGCCCTGAGTGCCAGAGATTCCTTGCGTGCTTTCCAAAGGCCTGTGGCAATGTCCTCTTCGGCTTCGGCGGTGAAGTTGAATTGGCTTGCCACGGGCTCAGCAAACCTATGTGGTTTGCGGGTCCCTCTTTTTCGTAACGTATGTTTGAGGGTTTATGGTGTATATTATAGGGTTTAGTGATGCTGCTAACCACTTGTTCGTGTCAGTTTGGCGCTCCAGGGTTTAAGGCATGGCTCTGCCTTTGTGCATGCGCGTGTGTGTGTGTGTGTGTGTGTGTGTGTGTGTGTGTGTGTGTGTGTGTGTGTCTGTGTCTGTGTGTTGGATGGAGACTGCTGCCCTGGCTTTTGCAGTTTGCCGAAGGCAGAAGACCAGGTTCACGGTTTCGGGTGTACTACTGCTTAGGGTCTGAAGGTTTGTCGTTTCCTTTGGTGTAGCAGCGGGTTTAGGGTCAGTGTATCATGGATCTAGGAACCCTTCATTTATACCCCAAAATGCTAGGGTCTAGATTCCGGTGTTGTATTGTCATTTTGTCTGACACCTTCACCGCTTCTTTCCAATTCCGAGCATCCCATCTGGTGTCAAGGCCGGTGTGCTTCGACCTATTGAGGCTAGCATGGTCTGGAACTAATCTTGCCTTTGGTTAGTAGGGAATGGAGGAACGGGTACAAGTATAATTACTATCACTACCATTCTTCCATTCCCTACGAACCAAAGGTAAGTAACCCCGCAGCTCCAAGCCCCGCAAAAGCACAACGCCATGCCGAAACCCTAAAACTAACACCACAGCTTAAGCTCAGAAGCCGGCAATTCTGAGCACGCAAAACCTTGAATCCTGACCCCATGCCCTGAACACATCCCAATTCCTAACCCTTCTTCCACTCCCTTCCACCAAGACAAAAACACTAGTACCCGAAGCCCTAAACCTTAAACAAGTGTTTTGGCAGCTGGGCTACTTTTGCAAAAGCTCGTTGCGAGCGGGCCTGGATCCTGTGGAGAAAAGGTCACTTTGCATTAAAACATCCCTTAACCCAAAGAGTCCTAAACCCTAGACTGTACGCTCGACCACAAAACCGAAGCATCCTCCTAAGGCGACGATGGCACTCTCTCGGTCACCAGCCACAACTGCCAGCCGAACCCTTGTGAGGCTCGGGATCAAATGGTTTAGGGTTTAGGGTTTAGGATTTGTGTCACAGGGTTGGGGGTTTAGGGTTCATAGCCTCAGGGTTTGTCTACCGTCTCCTGAGGAATGATTTTTTGTCTTCGTTCATATAAAACCCAAGAGAATATTACAAATAGTTGTTTATTATGGTTCTAAGGAGGGGTACATATCAGCACATCTTAACACTAAGAAACGCTTTAGAATCCTGGAGCTCAAAATAAAGAGCCCCAAAAGCTGAGTGTTCAGGGCTTCAGGGTGTCGTCGCTCGTTTAGAAAAGAGCTCGAGTTGTTCAGATTGAAGTCCCGAGGATGAAAAATTCAGAATTTGTGGGTTTTAGGGTTTTGGGTTTAGGGTTTTGGATTTTTGGTTTGAGGGTTTTGGGTTTAGGGTTTGAAGGTTTAGGGTTGAATACTTTTTTGGCACCTGTTCCTTAAAGGAACCATTATAAAATCAAAGCCTATACCTGTTTCTCCCTGGTTACTTCAAAGTCCGGTAGTAATTCATTGTAGCCAGAGCCTCTATTGCAATTTCTTGTTTTGCCTAAGTAAGACCCCCTTCAGCCCCCTTAGCCCAAAACCTGCAATGACGGGGCAATGGTGGCCAAAAGACGGCCGACTTCTCAAAGTACTACACCTATGTACGAGTTCGTGCTGTAAGCCCTAAACCCCAAACCCTAAACCCTCAAACCCTAAACCCCAAACCCTAAACCCAAAACCCTAAACCCTAAACCCCAAACCCAAAACCCTAAACCCTAAACCCCAAATCCAAAACCCTAAACCCTAAACCCTAAAACCCGAAACCCAAAACCCTAAACCCAAAATCCTAAACCTGAACCACAGCAAGGGCTGAGGTTCAGCCTTAGGGCTCTACAGCTCAGGGTGGAAAGTTGGTTTAAGCTGTTTGGGTGGTTGTCAAAATTAGGGTCCCTTTTTGGGTCCCTATTATAGTACGGCACGGGTCTTGGCAATGTTCAGGGGCATGTAGTGTTTCGGGTGTTGGGGCCCGTCGGCTGAGACGTCTTATCAAGTACATTTCTGAACCTAACCCCTGAATCCTGAAAGGATATCAATGGGATATCGAGTATGGGGGAAGTAAGCTGTGCAGTGGAACTGTCACTACGAAGAGGCTTAGTGCCGCCATTGGCGCCTCTGGTGACTTTGTGCCGACCACCATCGCCACCTCCACCACCACAACCACAAGTTAAGATGCGGTAGCAGCAGGCAGCTTCAAATTAACAGATGCTATGCAGGTGATGCGCTAGGAGTATAAGCCAGACAGCTGGATCAACATGATCCTGCTGTCTTTAACGTAAAGTCGAGGGGAACTAACCTTGCACCAATCATGTGAATCCTTAGCACTCAATAAATCAGAAACCCTAAACCCAACACCCCGTGTTCGGTAGAAAGGAAAATGGGGGTTCCTCGAAACGAAATCTTAAACCTTAACACACTAAACTGTTCCCTCCAAACAGCAAACACTCAGCTTCTTCTATCCTGCTTCTTCTATCGTGCGACCGCGCACAGCGTCGGCATCGTTGTCCTTCACCGACACCGAGAAAAAGCCGAACAAAGAGGATGGTGTAGACATCATGACTCAAAAGAAGGACTGTCACGCGCTGAAACGGCATACAAAGGTTGACGAGAACAAGGTCAGTGTGGAAGAAAACACGAAGTGGAAGGCAGAGGCTCCCACGCACAATGGCTTCTTCCCACATGGAGGTGTGCCGCGACAGGCACTAAAGCCTCAAAGGCAGCGCGAGAGTGGGCCACTGCGCCTTCTGTACAGAAGGCGACCCCTGCTCAATTCGGCGCTAGGAGAGATCGGTCCCCACTTACCTGCCTAACTTCGAGCCCTGCAGCCTAATGCCCTAAATCCTAAACTCTCAGCAGGCGGGCCTGTTGATTCAAGCAACGATCTACGGAGTCACTGGAGCCGGCTCCCCAAGACATCAGACTTCGCGTGTTGAGACTGAGGACCCCAGGTTGACGGCTTGGGGCATTTAGGCATACCTATAGTCTCCATTGTAGTTCCTTTTTTGGTTTTACCAATTATATATTAAGGATCCTATAAGGTAACCCCAACAAGGAACTACAATGGAGACTATAGGTAGGGTTTTAAGCTTAAGGGGAAGGTCTTGGTATTTTGAGGTATGGGGTTTTATAGAGTGGAGCGTTAAGGATTTTTCGGGTCTTTGGGGGGTCCAGGGCTCAGGGATGGGGTCGGGATTGTAACCCCTATAGATCCCTTTAAAGGAACCCTAGGGGTATATATATATATATATATATATATATCTGTAGATCCCTTAATGGAAGCCCTTAAAGGTACCCCTGTAGATCCCTTTAAAGGAAGGTTTGAGTTTTGGGGGTCGGGCGTTTAGGATTTAGGGTTGTTTAGCGATCTGGGGCTCAGGGTTTGGGGTTCAGGTTCTGAAGTTTAGAGTTTAGGTTTTGGGGGGTTTTAAGGAACCCCAAGTGGGAGTTTCTGAAAATAGGGGACCCAACATTATACCCTAAATAGTAGGTATAGGGGTACCTTATTTTGGCGTCCTTGTAATAAAGATCCTACTGTTTAAGGTATTACATTGGGGTCCCCGATTTTCGGAAACTCCCATTTGCAACTTTTGAGCTTCTTGATTGTAGACTCTTGACCAGCACGCCGCCTTTGTGCAAGGGCCCTGCTAATGATATTGGTGCGGAGATCCGGGGTAGTCCATCTTTCAAAGCAGGAGGATTATTCACAGGGTGTGGGGCCGGTATTTGGGTATGACCTTATGAAACGCACCTGTGTTAGAGCCATTGCAGTACTTGTGTTGCCGCAACTGAAGTTTTGGGTTTGGGCCGGGGTGGGTCTTTCCACTAACTTCCGACTATTCTGGGTATGCATTAGGACGCCCTTAGATAGCTGAAGTTTTGTCGCATGAGAGATTTCAAGGGTTGTAGGCTCAGGGCTTTCGGGGTCTAGTTTAGTCTACACGACGGGTCTTGGGGCCTATGGCTTTGAGAACTCAGGCTTAAGCTTATAGTGGCAAAGCCTATAGAACCAGAACAGTTGACAGTATCGTCTATAGTACGAGGGTTGCCTGCATTAGGCTTCGGCGAGTGTCTTTTTGGGTACGTATTGAGACTTGCGGTGCGTACTAATAATAGAAAGCATACTTCATGGGACCTACCGCCATCGGGGCCTCTTCAAAAACAAAAACGGGGTTTACTATCGGGACCTTAACAATTACCTATGCTATTTTGAGAGTTCCTTTTCGTAACTATGGTATAATGGGCCCCAAAACCTTGTTCTAATTATTAAGGCCGTTGAATTATACCAGGTTACTGAGAACTGGTAGCCTCTGCAGTAGCTCAGCAGCTCACATGACCCTACACCCTATAGCCATAGCCTTGTTAACCCAGAACTCAGATATCAAAGAAGCCCTGCCTCAAACCGAAGACCCCCATCCCCGCCATTACGCCCTCGCCTCCCCCCGCCCGCCCACGCACCCTTCATTGCTCCATACCCAAAACCCAGACAGACGGCTAAAACCCTGAGATGAGGCATTAAACCCCATGTCCTCATCCCTAAACTGCCCTGACCCGAATCCTACTTGGAGGTTCATGGGAACTTTACTTATATGTAGGGTTATAAGTAGAGTAACTACTATACTTATGACCCTTGTTAGGGGACTTATAATCCCACTTACAACTACCCCTGAACCTCCAAGTAGACCCTACACCCTTCAACGATGAGATTGCGCCTCTCATCTTCGATACTGACCACCTCGGCACCGGCCTGGTCGACTGCTACAGCAGGGATCCTGGGTGTTGGCGTGTGAACAGGGCTAAGGCAGCAGAGGGCTTAGATGTGGATCCTTAAGTCTCCATGTGCCCAAATAGCACAGACCGAGTATCTATATGGGGCCTGCATTTAAGGTTAGGAGTTAGGGGATTACTTGTGCCTGGCAGGATGCAGGGTTTCGGATTTTTCTGTGTGCGGTTTAAGGATGACGGTCTCGTCGGAGGGGGTCAGGTATCAGGTGTTGATGGTGCTTTGTCATGTCATTTTCAAGTTTAGCCAAAAACCCACAAGCCTAAACCGTGAACCCTAAACCCAAAACCCTAAACCGTGAACCCTAAACCCTCACTCTGGCCCAATCTGATGGGTCCGGGCTTCCGGCTTTTGAGTCCAGGGTTTGGGGGTTTAGCCTGTACCTTCAACCTGAATAACCTATATGGGTGGTTGTCAAAATTATGGTCCCTTTTTGGGAACCCTAAATATTAGGTGCCGTACTATATTCGGGACCCATAAAGGGACCATAATGTTGACAACCACCCATATACCTTTTGGGGTATCCTTCGTATGATTTCCTTACATAAGTCTTTAAAACGGTATGGTTATTCGGTGTGTAAGGTAGAGGCTTCTGGGGCAAGGAGTTGTGCGGGCAGGGGCCAGGATTTGGTGTCATGGCGGTGCTGTCTTCAGAGTTTTGGACGAGGCTTTGCCGCAGTTCAGCATCGGGGGAAGCAAACACATCGTATCCGAATCTCAAGCCCAAAGTGAGAGTCATGGTAACTTAGACGCCCCAGGAACCCTCTCATACGCCTGAGATACCACTAATACGCATCATGAGGGCTTCATTAAAGTGAGAATCATGGGAAGGAGGCCCAAAGGAGACCGAAACTCCTGAATCCCTAAGCCATGAGCTTTCCTGAACCCCAATCCCGAATTCATGAAGCCCCACACCAAAGGAGTACTTGAAGGTTTGCCAGTACAGTTGCAAGTGTCTTAACTGTATAATTGAATACAAGTATAGTTACTGTATTTAAAACCCTATGGTTCCTAACCCTAAACCCTAAACCCTGTTCCCAAGCCCCCTGAACTTTTTAGTAGGACTCAGGGGCTGGCCACTGGTTCCGCACGAAATTGATGGTAGCCCAAGCCCTGACTCTCAATATCGAGGTTTCAACGAATAGTCCCTAGTCACAATACTGTTGATGATATAAATCCTGCATTACCCATAGTAAGGAATATACCATAATTCCCATAGTTTAGGGTCCTTAAGGTAATGCAGGATTTATATTATCAACCGTATCCCCTGCATCCCCTTAGAGGCCTAAGGAACCCTCAAGAACCCCTCACTTAAGGGGAACCCTGAAAAACCCGAATAAGCAAAGATCCCCTTGTAATCCCTGTCCCTGTATCGAGGATTGAACCCTGAGTCATAGTATCGCCTCCGAGCCCGCATACTAATCTAGGGTCAGTGCATCAGGAGTGCCTTATAGAAAAAGAGTCCCCCGGTATTCAACCCCGATCCTCCCAGAAGTTAGCATCGACTAACACCCATGAAGCCAATGAAACCCTAAACCCTAAAACCCTAAACCACGGAATCCTAAGCCCTAAAACCCTAAACCTTAAACCATGGAGCCCTAAACCCTAAAATTTTAAAACCCTACACCCTAAACCATGGAACCCTGAACCCTAGACCGGAAGAGTATATCGAGGCATCAACCCGGAGACCACGGGACGCTTCGAGGCCACGTGTCGGGCGCCAAGCTGCTCCAAGCTTCTGATCATGGTTTAGGGCTTTGGGGTTTAGGGGTTAGGGGTTTAGGGGTGTGGGGTTTAGGGGGTTTAGCGGTTTAGGGTTTAGGGGTTTAGGGTTTAGGGCTTTCGGGTTTGGGGTTCAGGGTTTAGGGGCTTGTGCTGGGGATGTAGGGTTTATGAACATGGTTCAGTGCTTGTGGTTTCTGTCTAGTTACTCGTCTCTGTTGGGGTATTTAGGGCGTATAGGGCTTTGGGGAGCCTGGTTTTTGGTTTTAGAGTTTCGCTTGTAGGGCCTGGGGGTTATGGTTGGATGGCTTGGTCCGGGGTTTGCGGTACGTTTAGGGTTTAGGGTTTAGGGTGCTCAGTTTTATACGCAAATGGACCATCAGAAATCAGAACTATCATAACCCCCCCAGCTCAACTTGTCCACATTCTGGCAGGGAGTACCCCTGGCCCCTAGAAGCCCCTGGCCCCTAGAAGCCCCTGCCTCAGCCAGTTAGTACTTCAAGAGGCTCGGAACAGTTCCATGGAGCTTGACTGGTATGGCTCTCGTGGTCCTTAGTGCCCAACTCCTGGGCATCCCTATAATCTCAAGGCCGAAATGGACTTAGGAGATGATATAGGTCTTTCTGTTTGTCTGTCCATCCGTCCGTCCTGCTGTCTGTATATGTTCTGCAATGCATAAATGCGCACACGGAAAGAGATACATGTGGTATCGATATGGTGTACCCACACATATATATATATATATATGTATATATATATATATATATTATATACATATACATATACATATACATATACATATGCATGTACATATACATATACATATACGTATACATATACATATACATATACATATACATATACATATACGTATACGTATACATATACATATACATATACATACATATATATATATACACACACGTGTGTCTGTGCATAAGCTGTTGCGTGCATATGGATACTTCATTCACATATGCACATGGACGGATAGACAGCTGGAAAGATCAGGGACTTGCACCCTAAATCTTGGCAACCGCAGACCCCAAACCGTCAATCCTCACCCCTCAATTACAAACCCTAACCCCGAACCCCTCAACAAATAAACCCCAACCCCTCAACCCCAAAGCAAAACCCTGAACCCCTTGTTGTAAACCCTATAAGCACTAAACCGTCCCTTCTGCACCCCGTAATCCCGAAACCCTAACTCGAAACCTTTATAAACTCTATAAACCCTTATAAACCCCATAATCCCCTGAACCCATATCCCAAACCCCCCAGACCCTGTGACCCCCGAACACCGCGTCCTCCGAGGCTTCGCCAGGACTCTAACACTCGTGTCGGAAACGGCTTGCCGGAAGTCCGGGGCTCTGGGGTACGGCTTGGGGCATTTAGGGTTGGCTCCGGCTTTAGGGCCCCTTTAGGGTTCCTAAAGGGGTTCCTAGACAGTTAGGGTTCAGGGTTTAGGGTTTAGGTTTGAAGGATTACAACAGGGGTTCCTGCAAAGGGTTCCTTTAAAAGGCTGAAAGCTTGAAGAAGATTTTTGCAGGATTTTAATTACAGGGCTGAAATGAAGCTGGGCTTTGTGTTTGTTTGGGGGCAGGTTCGGGGGATCCGGGCTTCGAGTCTGTAGTGTTCCGGGGTTTCAGGTTTCGGTTGTCTGTATGGTGGATGAAACACAGCTTTCATCCGAGCTCACCCAAAAAGGCCAGTTACATACAGGGTTTAGGCCACTGGCTGGCTTGGTCTGTGAAACCCCAAACCCCATGAAAGGTTTAGGGCCCAGGGTCTTGATGCCCGAGCCTTCAAGCCTATAGAGCTTACCGGGGATTCAAAACCTATTGTTTCAGGGATCCGGGATCATACCCTCTAGCGAAGGTGTCATAACCCTCGGTTTTGTAGGGTCTGGGGTTACAGGTAGGGCTGAAGCCTTACATGATGGAGCAGTTG